ATAAAAATCATAGTATAAGGATTAAAAATAATCAAAAAAAAATAAAAATCATAAACTAACGATTAAAAATGATCGAAAAAATAAAAATCATAAAATAACGATTATTTTTGATCGAAAATATAAAAATCATAAAATAACGATTAAAAATGACTGAAAAAATAAAAATCAAAGAATAACGATTATTTCTGATTGAAAAAATATAAATCATAAAATAACGATTATACAATGATTTTTAAATAAAAATCCTTCATGATAACGATTATTTTCGGTCCGTGTTATTTACTTCTACTTAGTAAGGGTTTTAATCCCTAAGCGTGGCCGAAGGCCGCCTACGCAAAGAGAAGTTCTGCGCAAAAATACTTCCGCCCTTCTTTTCCGACAACACAGAAAGAGGAGTTCTACTTAGTAAGGGTTATAATCCCTAAGCGCGGCCGAAAGCCGCCTACGCAGAAAGCTCTGCGCAAAAATACTTCCGGTCCCCTTTTCCTGCAACACAGAAAGGAGAATTCTACTCAGTAAGGGATATAGTCCCGAAGCGCGGCCGAAGGCCGCCTACGCAGAAAGAAGTTCTGCGCAAAATACGTCCGCCCTTCTTTTCCGGCAATACAGAGGGGAGAGTTCTACTTAGTAAGGGTTATAATCCCTCAGCGCGGCCGAGGGTCGCCTACGCAGAAATAAGTTCTGCGCAAAAATACTTCCGGTCCCCCTGCACAAGAAAGGAGATTCTACTTTAGTAACGGTTATATCCCTAAACGAGGCCGAGGGTCGCCTACTCAGAAAGAAGTTCTGCCAAAATACTTGCGGTCCCCTTTCCGGCAACAGAGAAAGAGAATTCTACTTAGTAAGGGTTATAATCACTAATGCGGCCGAAGGCCGCCTACGCAGAAAGAAGTTCTGCGCTAAAAATACTTCCGCCTTTCGTTTCCGGCAACACAGAAAGGAGAGTTCGTATAATCCCTAAGCGCGACCAAAAGCCGCCTAGCAGAAAGAAGTTCTGCGCAAAAATACTTCCGTCTTTCCCGGCAACACAGAAAAGAAAATTCTACTTGGTAAGGGTTATAATCCCTAAGCGCGGCCGAAGGACGCCTACGTAGAAAGAAGTTCGTTTTCATGTATGCACTATTTCGGTTTTTGTCATAAGCATTATTTCAGTTTTGAGACGAAACTGTCCATGTATGCATTACTTCGGTTTTTTTCATATGCATTATTTCGGTTTTGAATCGAAACTGTGCATGTATGCATTACTTCGTTTTTGTCATATGCGTTATTTCGGTTTTCAAACGAAAGTGTGCATATATGCATTATTTCGGTTTTTTTCATATGCATTATTTCGGTTTTCAAGCGAAAGAGTGCATATGCATAATTTCGGGTTTTCTAATAGCATTATTTCGGTTTCAGCCGAAACTGTGCATATATGCATTATTTCGGGTTTTTCGTATGCATTATTTCGGTTTTTTTAATATGCTTATTTCGTATGCACAGTTTCCATATGCACAATTTCAGGGTGCCGGCTGATCGACTTCGCCGGGGCCGAAACATGGTAGTATGCAGTACTATGTTCAAGCATAAGAAGATCCATCAAGCTAAGTGGCTGTATCCAGATCGAAAAACGAGAAACCAAATTAATCATGTTGTGATTGACGGAGGCATGCTTCCAGTGTTTTAGACGTACGTACACTCCGAGGCCCATTTTCTTGTTGCAGCGAAGATACGCACTCGCCTCTGTGCAGCAAAAAATGTCCGCCAAAAATGCAAGGAAAACTTAACGTCGAAAAGCTGCAGTCACAACAGACGGCCAATGCTACTCGACTCTCACACCTGCTCTCAGAGAGCACTCTTCACAAAGCGACATATGCGAGCAGCGTTCATTAAGTACCGCCGCCAAAGAAGTAGTCGGATTTCAGCGAGCCCGAAAGAACAACTGGTACGATGAGGAGTGTCAAGAAGCTGCAGAGAAAAAAGATGCCGCCTTCAGGGCCAAGCTGCGATCGGGCGCAACAAGAGCCACGTGGGACCATTATAGGGAGCTGAAAAGGGAAGCGAGACGTATTTGCCGCAATAAGAAAAGAGAGGCCGAAATATGTGAGTGAGAAGAGCTTGAAATGCTGGCCGACAGGAAAAACGCCCGCAAATTTTACCATAGAGTTAGCCAACTTACGGGAGGTTTTAAGACCAGGGCAAACTCTTGTAAGAACAACAATGGCGACCTAGTGACAGATGTCCAGAACGTACTTAAATTATGGAGGGAACACTTCACCCTACTGAATGGCAGCGGCGCTGAAATCTATAGAGCAGATAAACCCGAGCCCCCAGTCGATGATGATGGAGTCGATGTACCACCACCTGACTATGACGGGGTACGAATAGCAACAGCGCGCTTGAAAAGCAACAAAGCTGCTGGAGCTGACAACCTGCCAGCGGAGCTATTCAAGTACCGTGGCGAGGAGTTGATAAGGCGCATGTATCAACTCTTATGTAGAATATGGTCAAATGAAGGCAGCGTATTGTGTGAAAGACTGAAGCCCACCGTCAACAAAGTGATTGGGCCTTATCAGTGTGTCTTTAGACCTGGAAAATCCACCGCAGAGCAGGTGTTCACAATGCGCCAAATCTTGGAAAAGTCCCGAGAGAAAAGTATCGACACTCACCACGTTTTTGTCGGCTTTAGAGCCGCTTTCGATAGCACTAAAAGGAGTTGCCTATACTCCGCGATTTCTGAATTTAATATCCCCTCGAAACTCATACGGTTGTGTAAAATGACGTTGAGTAATACCACCAGCTCCGTCAGAATTGGGAAAGACCTCTCCGAGCCGTTTGCTTTCAGTAGTTTCAGAGAGGGTGACTCTCTTTCATCTGATTTCTTTAATCTGGTGTTGGAGAAGATAATAAGAGGTGCAGAAATGAACCGCTCAGGACCAATTTTTCACAAGAGCGTGCAATTGCACTCCTGCCAACAAGTGCTACTTTGAATTGAGTAGGAAATTAGGGAGTAAAGTCCTCTCTCGACGTACGAAAACCACTCTCTAAAAGTCACTCATCATGCCCGTGTTTGAATATGACGCAGAAGCATGGACAATGACAACATCCGATGAGGCGGCGTTTGGAGTATTCGAGAGAAAGATTTTTCAGAAGATTTACGGGCCTTTACGCATTGGCGACGGAGAGTACCGCAGACGATAGAATGATAAGCTGTATGAGCATAGACATAGTGCAGCGAAGCCGGCTCCTCTGGCTTGGCCATGTCGTTCGAATGGACTCTGACGCTCCAGCTCCGAAAATATTCAACTCGGAAACCGCCGGTGGTAGCAGAGGGGGAAGGAGGCCCCCACTGCGATGGAAAGACCAAGTGGAGAAGGACTTGGCTTCACTTGGCATTTCCAATTGGCGTCAGTTGGCAGAGAAGAGAAACTACTGGCGTGATTTGTTGAACTCGGCCAAAATCGCTTAAGCGGTTACAGCTCCAAATAATGATATGATTTGAATGGTAGTTTATTATCCTACCCGACGCAAAGAACTCTGTGTGCCAATTGAATTTTATACTACTATTGCGACGTCTTTGTAGTTCTGCATCAAGAAATGCCTATGAATCTTATTTTTGTGGTGATGCATTTACGGATTTTAACATAGTATCTTCCATGTCATTTGAGTTTACTATTGCAAATAGATCGTCTACATATTTTGTTATGTATTTGATTGTATATTTTGCTGCTTTAATTCAGCCAGGCTGTCGTCAAGTATTTTGTCTAGTTAGAACCACGGTGCAGCGAACAAAGGTGGCGCCGTCAGTGGTACCGCTACTTTGGTTTTGCCATTTTGACAGTTGTGGTAACTTGCAAATAAACCTTTGTTTACAAATCAGCGAAAGAGAAATTTGAATTAGAAGTTAAAAATCAGTTTAAGTTGTGTTAATTTGCAATTTGTGAGTGATTTTTGAGTTGAAGACTGCGTTAAAACTAATAAAATTAAGTGCTGTGTGTTAAATTGCGACAGCCATCAAGATGCAAGATGCGTAGATGCAAGTGTAGCGCTGGGACGAATCGCTGCATTTTGTGTACATAGGGCACGGCAAAGCCGTTCCCGAAATGTTTCTTTATTATTACATTAACAGCATTTCCTCACAATGATTTTGCTTCTGCTCAAAGCAACCTCCATTAGCAAGTTAACTAATCAATCCCGTTGAGATGCTGCCGCAGTTTTCTGCAGCAGCCTTAATTGCAAAGCAACGGAGTGCACTAAAACGTTTGCTGAAGCAGCCCCAATTGCAAGGCAATGGAGTGCACTCAAATTTTACCTATTCTCTAATAGATTAGCTAAAAATGCAATATTTTCGCATTTAGCAAAATTAAAACACGTTTTTCGCTGTAAGGTGAACTGTTTTTGCAGTTTCAATTCGTTCTTCTTTTCGCTCTATTCTTTGTTTACTTGTGGTACACAAATGTCAACGCTCAGGACGGCGCAATCTTGTATTCTATCATTCTTGAGTTAGAACAATATCTACAATTGTTGGTGACAATGGATTCCCCGTAGGCGTGCCATAAATTTGTTGGTAAAACGTGTTGTTGTATCTAAAATAGTTATTGTCAAGTAAACGAAATCCGAGTATCATCTGGAACTGCTTCTTTGATATCTTGGTGTGGCTCTCCAAATTGCTCCACTTTTTCATAATAGTCTGTATAGTTAAATGTATGGGGATGTTTGTAAATAGGGAAATGACGTCGAAGGATATTCGAATTTTTTTATATTTTGGAAACTTTCTTTAAGTTGATATGGCCCAAAACGCGGACTGTTAGATTACATTTTGGCTCACACTGCTTTTAAAATACCGCTGAAACTCGCCAGAATACAATTTCTGATAGTTTTTCTTCTTGCATCTGAAAGCATAAGGAGGTGCCATTATTTAACATATACTTAAGATATATTGTAACTCCTGTTGTTTGGAAGTACTTTTTAACGTTGCTTTATATTATTGAAAAAGTCTGCTCTCCTAGTAGTNAGATGCTGCCGCAGTTTTCTGCAGCAGCCTTAATTGCAAAGCAACGGAGTGCACTAAAACGTTTGCTGAAGCAGCCCCAATTGCAAGGCAATGGAGTGCACTCAAATTTTACCTATTCTCTAATAGATTAGCTAAAAATGCAATATTTTCGCATTTAGCAAAATTAAAACACGTTTTTCGCTGTAAGGTGAACTGTTTTTGCAGTTTCAATTCGTTCTTCTTTTCGCTCTATTCTTTGTTTACTTGTGGTACACAAATGTCAACGCTCAGGACGGCGCAATCTTTTATTCTATCATTCTTGAGTTAGAACAATATCTACAATTGTTGGTGACAATGGATTCCCCGTAGGCGTGCCATAAATTTGTTGGTAAAACGTGTTGTTGTATCTAAAATAGTTATTGTCAAGTAAACGAAATCCGAGTATCATCTGGAACTGCTTCTTTGATATCTTGGTGTGGCTCTCCAAATTGCTCCACTTTTTCATAATAGTCTGTATAGTTAAATGTATGGGGATGTTTGTAAATAGGGAAATGACGTCGAAGGATATTCGAATTTTTTTATATTTTGGAAACTTTCTTTAAGTTGATATGGCCCAAAACGCGGACTGTTAGATTACATTTTGGCTCACACTGCTTTTAAAATACCGCTGAAACTCGCCAGAATACAATTTCTGATAGTTTTTCTTCTTGCATCTGAAAGCATAAGGAGGTGCCATTATTTAACATATACTTAAGATATATTGTAACTCCTGTTGTTTGGAAGTACTTTTTAACGTTGCTTTATATTATTGAAAAAGTCTGCTCTCCTAGTATATTGTTTTCAAAAGTTGGTACACAGTTTCTTAGCTAAAGGATGAAACTCAAGAACTACGTATTAATTGAACTGATAAAATTAATTTTGAGGTCAATATTTACAAAAAATAGTGGGAGAGTTACGTTACAGAAAAATACTGTTACGTACCTGTGCGATATACATACGTACAGCAGTAAGATTATAATTAGATTTTTAAATGGTGTTTAGTGTTTCATATACACTAAGTAGCATGAATTCAGTAGTCTTGCGATGTGAGATGTAATTCAAAGATATTAAGAACATGGTAATTATTATTGCAGATTTTAAAGTTTCTGATGTTGTGCTGCTGCAGGCCGTTTCAGAAGCATTTTTTTGCTTAGAACTCGAGTTCGATCTTAAAACTGCGCCAAGATGTTGAGCTTTTCTGCGGTTAAGTAGACGAAAAACGGCTTTAATGGCTTCTTTTCCTTGACCTATGCTATTTAGTTCTATTCTTACCCTTCAAATGCGCCTTGGAGTGGTGCTTTTTTCTTATGAAACTATGGCCACTGGAAGATGACGTAATGAGTTAGAAAGCATATGCTTGGTTTGGCGATGTTAGATTGGAGGACACGGCAGTTAAAGTAGTTGTAACTCTTGAAGAAAAAATCTTATAGCACCATTCGAGAGTGCATTTTGAAGGATAATAATAGTACTAGAACAATAGGCGAAATAGCTCCAATAGATTCTTATTAGATTATTTAATAGGAAAATCTTCTTTTAGCTTCTTATTTCGCTTCTTTTGAGGTCGTTCCCTTTTGAAATAATATAACTGTCGAGTTTTTTTATTTTTCTACATAATTCCTATCTACTAGCCTATATAAGTTAGAAAGAATGCATTTCATGTCACCGCGGCCACCTCTGTGCGCGAACTCTCAGGATTTGGATGAAAGTTGAAGATATTGAAGGTCTAGGTGACATGAATATACGTGCAGCATATTTTGCCGATATGAAGTAGGGTTGCCTATTTACACCGGACTTAAATTTTAAGAAAACGTCATACATACCTGTGCTGTGTCTTGGAAACCTTTTAACGAAACTTAATGAAAAAAAATTTATTTCTTCCGTCTTATTATGAGCTTTAATTATACGCTTTTTACATTAATGTGCAACGTTAAAAAAAGACAAAAAAAAATAAGTAAACATTTTACTTTTTGATTTTTTTTTTTTGATTATAGCATTTTTTAAAATTTTTACTTCTACCTAAAAACATTGTANCTATGGCCACTGGAAGATGACGTAATGAGTTAGAAAGCATATGCTTGGTTTGGCGATGTTAGATTGGAGGACACGGCAGTTAAAGTAGTTGTAACTCTTGAAGAAAAAATCTTATAGCACCATTCGAGAGTGCATTTTGAAGGATAATAATAGTACTAGAACAATAGGCGAAATAGCTCCAATAGATTCTTATTAGATTATTTAATAGGAAAATCTTCTTTTAGCTTCTTATTTCGCTTCTTTTGAGGTCGTTCCCTTTTGAAATAATATAACTGTCGAGTTTTTTTATTTTTCTACATAATTCCTATCTACTAGCCTATATAAGTTAGAAAGGAGGCATTTCATGTCACCGCGGCCACCTCTGTGCGCGAACTCTCAGGATTTGGATGAAAGTTGAAGATATTGAAGGTCTAGGTGACATGAATATACGTGCAGCATATTTTGCCGATATGAAGTAGGGTTGCCTATTTACACCGGACTTAAATTTTAAGAAAACGTCATACATACCTGTGCTGTGTCTTGGAAACCTTTTAACGAAACTTAATGAAAAAAAATTTATTTCTTCCGTCTTATTATGAGCTTTAATTATACGCTTTTTACATTAATGTGCAACGTTAAAAAAAAGACATAAAAAAATAAGTAAACATTTTACTCTTTGATTTTTTTTTTTGATTATAGCATTTTTAAAAATTTTTACTTCTACATAAAAACATTGTCTATAATGTCAGCTTTAAGTACCCAAATGGGCGTAATGGGCTACTTATGCGTATGGACTCTAGATCGTCTAACGCTCAAGCAATATGATAAATAGACATTGAAATTTTATGAAATTGCATATTTTTGAAAGGGGAAACTTTACTAAAGACCTGAAATCACAAAAATTCCTGGAAATTTTAAGAGATTAGCAGGTGAGCAAGTCTTTAACTCCTGACGTTACAACAAATTCGACCACCTGATCTATTATTTTTATTGGCCAAATAATAGACATAAGAACGATTATAAGAAATGTAAACATAACAAAACTGTCAAAGCTAAACTTCAAAATGGGGGGGATTGCCAGATGAATGTACGTAACCAATAGTTATTCAAGACACGGCCACTATTAAAACGATCATACTGACATACGAAAAAAGAATCGGTGGTCACATTCCACGAGGCTAGAAAAATATATTTCCTTTTTGGAATTGGACACGGAGCGAACCACACTCACTCATCAGCCCTCGCAAGAACGGAATTACAACCAAGTAATTAAATTGGATTAAAAGCTTGTATTAAGANCTTTTTTTTTATCTTGTATCTGGTTCAGTCAAAGGCAAAGGGTTCCGTCACATTTCTTCCGGCGAATCCCCAACCAAATTGTGCAGGGGAAAATAAAGAAGTTGTGAATGCAAAACCTGGTCTATTCATTTGACAGCAATTGGACCCCCATTCGCCGATTATCCCAAAATCATCAAAACGTAAGTCTGCCACTTTCTTGTCACCATCCCATTGGAAACGAGCTACCCAACAACAGTAAATCGAGATTCCTGTTTGGACCGACAAAATAAGGTCAAGCAAATCATTGGCGCCCAACTAAACGGGTGAAAAAGAATAAGTTTTTGTTGAACATAACCACACTTAAGCCCGGCATAAAATAACCGCGTGCTCAGCTGAGCGAAAATAGCAATTTCATCATCGAATCAATTTAATACATCATAAAATTAGATTTAAGGAAAAATTAAAATCTTTTAGTCGTTTTTCTCATTTTGTTGGTCACAAAATTGTACGTCGGTGAACCATACATATTCGAGTTTAATAGATTTTTGATAAATTTTTCTTTTAGAAATTCCGCTATTATAAATCATCATTGAGATTGAATCAAATAATTATCTTTTGAATTCATAATCACTGTAAATCAATATCGTCCTCAGTCTTCACACGGCATGATTTAATTGATTTTTATTGGAGCTCGTTTTCAATCAAAATTTTTGTGGATATTTTGATTATTTATTTCCGCGGGGGTGAATGGTGATCGATCTGCGATGCGAACACCATTGATCAGCAGTCATAACCATTCTCGTTCAGTTCAGTTCGCCAATTCTGAAAAGCAAGTTAATTGAATTTTTTAATCAAGTAACACCACACATCGACGGTCAAGATTTTTGAACCGATCATTTTTCTTTTCGTCTTTCGGTATAAGTTCAAGCAACGTAACCGATAACACGGTCAATATTAATTGAACCGAACTATTAATTTTTCTTTATTTTTGTAATTTCTTTGGGTATTCATTCCCAATAAAATTTGAAACTCGTATCAAAGTAATCTCGTTTAACATTCTCAAACTGGTTGAATATTCTCAGTCTGATTTGGTCTTCCGGTAAATTCGGGGGTGGATAGTCTTGATCTTTGTTGCGTACCTTGTTGGCGACAGAAGGGACCGAAGGAGATACAGGTAATACTCCCAAGTATTCAAGGCCTTCGCTGCATCCCGGGAGCAAACAACTTGGTCCATAAAAAGATTCGAGCTAGTGCGTTAAACGCCATTCTCAGCCCACGTTCGGTATAATATTAAACCAAATTTTGGACCGAAAATCACATGAGATATACAACCAATTGAGCGTGATTTTTTAGCTAAACTAATTAGATTTAAAGCAATATTCAAATAGTGATCGATTTATGCGGCATTATTTTTGAAAGTGGATATTCAAAACGACATACTCATAGAATAAAATAATAATAATAATAAATAATAAACTGAAGTAAATACTGTACTGATTTTAAATCGAGTACCATCATCTTATAACATAGACTTTAATAGTACGGACTTTACGTCTACCGTTGGCAGAATTTTTTTAATAATCGGAATTTACAACTTGGTATTTGAGTCTTTGAACATGGAATTGTTTCCCATTCTCGATGCAACTTATTTGACAGACGAACAGCGACAGATCGAAGGGGAGATATCGTCGCTGGAATAATGAAATAGTGTAACATGAAAAGTATAGTTTTGAGAAAAACGAATTGGAAGTCTTTATAAACCATTACAAACCGTACAAATACCATTTCATTTTTCGGGAATAAATTAGTGAGCCAAAGAGATATTTAAGAAAAGTAAAGATTTTTCTAATAGATTAAAGGATTGTCTATCCAATGGTGCAATTATCGAATAATTGTGTATGTGGCATTTACTCTGTTTCTTTATTCGAGCGACGATATATAACCACCTCAGGGTCGTCTTCATCAAATGATACATTATTGTTATCGAACCGCTCGGTTGAAGTTAAAACCCGAGTCGGCGTCACGCCAGGCAGATCTGATCGGAAAATTTCAGTCGAAGATTCGTGAGCTTCGGATGTCTTCACCGAATACGGGAATCCCGACGTGCGATCCCCAATTAAGTTTGAACTCGACCTTCCATGGTTTTGAGAATAAACGGGGAACGATGAGTTCAACTCAAAATACTGTACCATCACAATATTTACCCTTAACCATACCAGATTTGATTCCAAACCAGAATATACCGACTTCGGTCCAGGCAACTGAACCACGGTATACCCTGACCACAAGTACGGTTAATTCAAATGCTCAACCAGCCGTGGTTCCAGGAACGGAACCAACACCCTCATTACATCAACTGTCTGTAATGGTGTCTGAATTGCTGAGAGCCCTAACACAGATGCAACAGCAAATGATCCGTGATCGGATTCAGTTGCAGACACAAATTCCTGACGTTCGTGATATGAACCAAACCATGCCAACGACCTGGAATCATACCTGGATACCACCCTCGGTGGATCCTCCGCATGGTTCTTTGGGTGGTCCTTCAACCTTACAAACTCAAACGATCAATACCTACCGTGGTCTTAGAACGTCACATATCCAAGAACCAATTAATCAACCATCTCATTTATATCCGAATTATTCGCTATCCGGTCAACAACAATCACGACTAAGGCCCCTATTATGAGTTACATTCGATCTTCGACTGTAGTCGAAAGTGCTGATCGAGCGAATTTTGATTTGGTATTATGGCGCTCATTCGATGAAGAATAGCGCTATTGTGAACTTCGCTCGCTTATGTTGTTCACAATAGCATATTTTTCACCGCTGAGAAGCTTTGTTTACAATCAAGCAAACTAAATAGTGTGCTTATACATATTTATGTAAATTTGTGCAAATTAAAATGAAATAAAAAAGAAAGCAAGTTTATAAAAACGTGGTAAAAATTAGTACAACGAAGTTCTGGGGTTCAACGATTCGTCAGAGGATGAGAGTTTAGTGAACTGACCAGGAGTAGTAAATTCTTAAGAGAGTTTAAGTGTAGTCTTTACAATATATTTTGACATAAAATATATTTAAGAAATTTGTCTACAGATTTACTAAAAACTTCCGACTATCTAAAGAGGCGTTTGTGAGCCAAATCTATGTGAAACACACCCTATTGAGGGGAGCAGGGCATGAGGCACTTTTTACCTCCTGGTAAATAGAACGAGCTCCGTATTTTCCAGGATTAACAGGAAGTCCGCAACTAGCAAACCAATTTCCGATCATATTTAGGTACCCTTGCATACGATCATACAGAGTGTCCAAGAACTTTCCTCTGACGATGAGTCCCACATCATCCGCGTAGGCAATAACCTGGCATCCTCTCCTTTCCAACTTCTCCAGGACGTCGTTTATCACAGCTATCTAGAGAAAGAAACACATTTCTGAGGCATTGCACTATTCCGCTGTAACAGTTTTGTCGTGCAGCATACGTAGGATGAGCCTTACTGAGTAGCTATCGACTCCGAACTTAGTCAGGGCTCGTATTATCGCCCCAAGTAAGACATTATTGAAATCCCCCCCTCGATATCAAGGAAGGCACTTACTATGAAATCTTTGTTCTTAAGAGACTACATACTAGAGGGTAGATACCGCCCTAAACAAAGTTGTTCCGACATGAGACCCCCAAACTGGTTAACCGGTATGCTACAAGGGGGTGTATTACCGCCGCTACTTTGGTCGCTGGTGGTCAACAGGATACTGAAGGAAATGGAAGGAGAACCTGCCGAGCTTACTGCATATGCGGATGATATCTCTGTCATAGTAAGCGGAAAGTGTCTGTCCACACTCAGCTGGGTATATATCTTTGGTCAATCGAAGTAGGGCGTAGCATCATCGCAGAAAAACCAAAACTGGTACTCTCACCAGAATACACAAGATTCCGAACTGGTCCAAGCCTATTCTGGATATGGAGACCCCTCAGGTGAAGTAAAGTACCAATTACGTCGGAATAATAATCGATAGTAAGCTATCATGGCGCCTCAATGTGTAGGAGAGGGCGAAGAAGGCTTCCGTGGCATTCTATGCGTGCAAAAAGATGATAGGCAGCTTCCTGATACTCCTCATGGTATCAGTTGTTCTTTCGGACTCGCTGAAATCCGACTACTTCTTCTTCGGCGGCGGTACTTAATGAGCGGGAAATGTGGTTCCACTGCTCGCATATGTCGGCTTGTTGAAGAGAGACCAGGTATGAGAGTCGAGTAGCGAATGCATTGGCTGTCTGTTGTGATTGCAGCTTTTCGACGTTAAGCTTTCCTTGCATATTTCGGCGCACATTTTTTGCTGTACAGAAGCGGGTGCGTATCTTGGCTGCAACAAGATAGTGGTCCGAGTCGATATTTGGGCCTGGGGCTTGTCGCCTTCTATTTCTCACTGGATCTTCACGGCGATAATCAGACCGATACTGTTTCATGAGGTGCTGATTTGGTGGACAGCATGGGAGAAGAAAACATTTTTTACCGATCTGGGCGGGGTTGTTGTAGCCGCTACAACAACAACAACAACAAAACATTTTTTAAGAGTATAGAAGGTGTATATAGGCCACCAATGATCGGCATGACAGGCGCACTTAGGACTACACCGACGGCGGCACTCTATATCTTGTTGCATCTCTTGCGGGCGGACCTATGGGCCAAGAATATAGCGGTGAAAACTGCCGACAGGCTTTATGCTACGAGTCACAGTAGTATAGCGTCAACTTTACTTGGACGCATTGACTACACCATAGAGGTTGAAGGCTGACGGGAGGACATGCGGAGTGCAGGCTCGGTGAGTGTCTATACAGATGGATCTAAGATGGAGAAAGGAATAGGGGTGGCAGTCGTATGCGCGAGGCTCGGTCTCAACAAATCTTATAAGCTGCCAAACTATTGCAGTATTTTCTAGGCGGAATTATTGGCCAGAAGGAGCGCGGCTAAGCTACTGAACAGCGCTCCAGATAACAAGCGGGTGAATTTCTATATATACAGTCAGGCTGCAATAAAGGCGCTACTATTCCAGAGCACTTCGTTTAGAAGTTTGGCGGAGTGCAAAGCACTGGGTTCCGGGGCACACCGGCGTAGCGAAGACGCCAATAGGCTGGCCAAAGGGGGTGCTCTGTCGAAAACCATGCTGATAGAATAGGCGCCGATTTCCCTCCAAGCGATTAAACGGGAACTCGACCTGTCCATGATCCGGCAGGCGCAGAAGGCCTGGAACAAAACGCAAGGCTGCAAGTTGCCCAGGGTTATGTGCAGAGAGTATGACATGAAGCTCACGAAGTGTCTCCTTCATGGGAGGAGGGAGGACGCTAGGCTACTGGTGGGTGTTCTAACTGGACATTGCCCGCTGGCATCGCATGCCGATAAACTGGCTGTTACAAACTATACGATATACGAGGTTTTCTACCTAATCTGGAAGCCGCCGGGTATAACAAGTTGTTCCAGTTTGCCAAGAGGACTGCGATGTTCTTCAACATCGTTCCTGGTTCGCATTGATTAGCTGTCAAAAGTGGTCGTAGCTTATCTGGTAACGCTATGAACCTTAATGGTCTCTGCGAAGCCACGTAGTGGCTGGCCAGCATACCTTACCTAACCTATTAATTAAGTTTTGCTAATTCTATGTTCTTTATTATGATATTTTCCGACGAGGTTGATGTCTAGACTAGTTTTTGCATATACTATGTCTGCAGCCGGATTAAAACATTTGATATCGCTAATTTTGATCGCCAAAAGATTTAGCGTAGCGATTGCCAGAATTCCGCTGCTGGACAAACAAGATTCTGAAATGATAAAACCGTGGTAAAATACTTACAACACCATTTACAGATAAAAGTTGATCTCCTCTTTTAAGTCCGCCATGCCTATCAGCCACTCCGCCAGGTATAATACGGGATATATAAATAGGGGAGTTTTGCTCCTTTCCTCCCATTACATTAAATCCAAGCCCTAAGAAAAAAATGAACAGAAATTATATTTTTAATTCGAAAAAAATATTTTATAATTGTTTGCCTTTTTTTATTTAGGGCATGTGTGAATCGGTAACAGAGTTCTATGGGGAAAGCTGTTGAAAAATATTTTTACTATGGTGGGACAGTTTTGCCAATCTGCTGTGTGAAATAAAATATTTTTTGACAGCAGTAAATTTTTGATTACCGCTGATTTATGCGGAATAAAATATTACGAATTATTGTAAAATTAATATGTTAAGAAAATATCTCCCATCGTTGATTGCAATTCATCAATATTAGCTTTTACTTAACGAAAAATTACACACATCAACAATCTTTGCGATTGTCAAAATTTTCTGTGCATTTGTCAAAAAATTCAGTACTATGATAAGTATGTAGCAATACAAATATTTTGAAATTACTCTTCACTTCTGAAATGACTCGACTGCTCCTACTACCGACACTACTATATGGCTGTAAATTATATGCTAGCTGTGATAGTGTATGTAGGGATAAATCGATACTATCAAGGTACTACTCAAATCAGTACTTGCACTTGTATCAAACAAGGTATCGAGTACTTGTACATAGAACTACGATTTTACAGATTTTTCAAAGTTATTGATTTTTTTTTACAAAAAATATGCATTTTTACAAGATTATTTATCTTCTAACATTTTTTCATACAAAAACAATATTTGTTTGTTTGTTGCCCGTATGTCGACTCCTACAATCGGCCGTCCTGTATTTTCATTCGGCCCGAATGAAGGGGCCCATTTCTTCATGTATTCCGCGATAGTAGTAGTTCGTCCAGGCCCTTCGTGATCTCCTTCGTGGAACCTTCATATCGACCGTGGTCCATCCTTCGCAACACTTTATACGGCCCGAGGTATTTCGGCTTCAGTTTCAAACCAACCCCGTACTGCGTTCGTTTAATTGCGACCAGATCATCGACGCCATATTCGGTTTCCGCCTTACGACGAGCTTTAAACGTTCTACAATTTTCTTCTTGAATCGCGGCTATGTTGTCTTCAGCAAGCTCGCGGCTTCTCTCCCGCTCGGAATCGATTTCTTCTAGGTTGGCGATATTTAATAGTTCTTGCAGATCCGGCATTTCCTTTACGCGCATATCAAGGCCGGTTAATATTTTGAATGGTGACACTTTGGTGCTTCGAGGTGACGTATTGTTTATGATCTGCTGCACGCGATTCACATACTTATACCAGTTGCTCGGGTTTTCGCAACAGAGCTTCGTTATCATAGGTACAATAATCTTGTGCATCCGCTCGACTTGACCGTTTCCTCGCGGAACCCCGGTGGCAATGGTCAAATGTAGTATATTTTCGCTTTCACAATATCCTTTGAAGAGGACCGATGTGAACGCCGCGCCTCTGTCGGTTATAACGCGTGCCTGATTGCCAAAAACTGCCGACTGCTTTTTAAGTCGGTCGAATACAGCCTCTGCTCCTGTGTTTTTCGTTGGATACAACCAAACGAGCTTTGAAAAGGCGTCCACTACTACCAGCAGATAGTTGTAGGATTTGTTCGTCGTCTCCATTGGCCCGACATGATCGAGATGGAACGTACCCAATGTGCGGTCTTCCTTATTGATGGAACTTAGGAAACCTTCCCTTTTTCCCAGTTTTGCTACCGTTAATTATGCACTCAATGCAACTCTCAACCACGTGCGCTGCTTTCGACTTCAGTTGCGGAATAAAAAATGACTTTTCGACTGTATCCTGCGTTTTCTTGGTGGAGAAATGCCCCTGTTTATGTGCCGTTCGAATGATTTCCTCCTCCATGAGTGAAGGTACTACTATCAACTCCTTGACGGGATCTTTGTGTAGCCCACCATTCTTCATATAAAAGTCCTTGTAATAATCCCTTTCGAGAACCTTCCGAACTGCTCTCACCCAATCGTCCTTTTCCTGTGCTTGCTTTAACCGGTGGCTTAACGAGTCTTCCAATAGCAGACACGACACCCTACTTAAAGCGTCCAAGTGCTTAATTTATTGCCACTTCGATGCTCGATTTCGTAGTCGAAGTCCTGTAAATACATAGCCCAGCGGGACACTCTCAACGGTACATCTCGTTTTTTCATAGTCATAGCGAACGCGTTGCAGTCGGTAATAATTTTGAACTTCATACCCATCAGATAAACGCGCCATTTTTTCAGTGCCTCCACTCCACTCTTGGCTTCGTCTTCCGGCTCATATATTGGATTGGATGGAACAGCTGGTCGTCGTTATTCTTTTGTAGCAACACCGCACCGTATCCGAGCTTTGAAGCATCCGTGTGTACCTCGGTAACTGCCTTCGGGTCATACAACATCAAGACAGCGCACTCTCCAAAGCGCACTTCAGCTGTTGGAACGCAGCTAGTTCTTTTTCTTGTAGTTGGAACTTCACGTCTTGTCTCAACATGTCTGACAACGGCTTGGCAATAACCGCATACCTCTCAATAAATCTCCTAAAATACGACGTCAGTCCGAGGAACCTTTGCATTGCTTTGCGGTCATGTGGCAGTGGGAAACGCTTAATGGCGTCCGTTTTTGCCTCTGAGGGTCTTATTGAATTATTTTCTAAGACGTACCCTAAAAACTCGACTCTTCTCAAATTCGTAATCCTTTCGCTGCAGCCGTCTTTAAAACCACCTCTAGCTTCTGGATGCCTTCGTCTTCGTCCTTCGAGGGGATAATTAAATCATCCATGCAAGCCACGACTGTTCCATCCCTAATCAAATCCCTCAAAACGGCAAAGATGAATCTTGAAGAGACAGCCGGCGAGTTGCATATGCCGAACGGTACGTATAAAAACGCATACTGGCCGCTCCAAGTCACGAAAGACGTGTATTTTTGCGATTCGGCATTGATGGGTACGTGGAAGAACCCGTTTACTAAATCCAGCGTAGTAAATATCTTGGCGCCTTGCAACCACTCGATTACGTCGTCCAGGACGGGCATCAGGAAATTGTCCCTTACGATTTTTTCGTTCAACCGTCTGTAGTCGCAGCAAAGCCTTTTCTCGCCATTCTTTTTGGGGACCAGTACGATTGGTGACGCGTACTCAGAAGTGCTGGGTTTAATTACCCCTTCTTCCAACCACTGCGTAACCTTTTCGTCCACTAAGCATTTGTCGGCGTAGGGCATTCCTATTGGCCGCTCGTATACTGGAGTATTATCTTTTAGTATGATCTTCATCTCCACCGGGGACTCTAAATTTTTCATTGGTTTGTAGGCGGCTATCATCTCTCTAACTTTGCTTGCTTGCATGCTGTTAAGATGAGATAAGCTGACTTCTAACGATTCCTCCGTATCTACTATGAGGCACAAATCCCCAAACTCGCCGACCAGTTCCGCAACTCGATTTTCATCAGTGTCCGCCTCGCTAGATTTGACACTGTGTTTGTTCGCTTCAAGTTTCTGCACGCTCGTATCTTCGTATGATGACCCTGATCTCATTCCGCGCTTCATGACGCTCACGATGTGTTTTTTCACAGCACCTTTGGACACCTCTTCGCTCCTATGCAGTTCGCATGCTGAAACCACGCGTTCCTTGGCGCCTACATCACGCCGCTTTACGGCACTACCCGACACCTGCCCCCGTCCATACGACGCATCGGTTACGCTATCATTTGCAACTGCATCGACCAACGAGATTTTCTTGTTGGACTCCCGTAATTGCACTGCTGATTCTTCTGACTTCGATTTCCTCTGATGGAAATCAACACCCTCCTCCGTCACTACTAGGTCGACTTGCTTCAGAACGTCGTTGCCTATAACCACGGCATAGCTTAAGTCGCGTTCGCTGGTTACGTGGAACGTAATGTCTAGTGGTACGTCGTCTATAACCATATGGGTGGTAAAACTACCCATTGTCACCAGTTCGCTGTTGCCGATGCCTACCAACCGCCGCTTCTCTTTGCTCAGTTCCGCGTCCAGCCCCAACATTAGCAAAATATCGCTGCGCATCAAACACAAGTCAGATCCAGTATCAACCAGCGCTGAAATAGTTTTACGACACATATTGGGTGCCCCAAAAACTAAGTCCTTGAAGACCATACTGCTCCTATTCCCAGTTTTTGCCATGGTATTCACGCTACCCCTCTCCGACTTGGCCGGCTTGTTGACCGCTTTGCACTCCGCTGCACGATGACCTTCTTTTCCGCAATTGAAGCACTTGTATTTGTTTCGTGGACAATTTCGGGCGATATGCGAACTGTCGCCGCATCGGAAACATTTTCCACTCCTCTGATGGGAACTCGGACCCGCTTTGTTTGATGACGATGGTTAGAGGTTTTCCGCGCATTATTTTCTCGAAGATTTTAATTTGCTCCGTAAGATCATTAATAGATTTTGCTTGATATAAGTTAGCTTTGGTTGATTTGGCCTCTGGTATTCCTTCGATGAAGTACTATATAAGGCAGAGGTCATCCAAATTTATGGACCTTCCAATTTCCATCAGGCTATATAAGTATTCTCGCAAATCTTCATCTTGCTTCTTACGACGGTTCCTTAAAGCGCGGTGCACCTCAACCGACGACGATGCTGCACCAAATTCCTCCTGCAAAGCCGACCTGAGTGAACTCCAACTACTGACACCGATACGGCTACGCACAAACATTTTCGCAGCTCCCTTCAACAGCTGCTTGCCATAAATATACTTTTGTAGCTCGCTCCACTGCACTGCTGCCGCATTTTCTTGAAAATCTGTTAGCCGTTGTTCGAAGCTGGGCTGGCCTGAACCACTGAATGACGTCATTGAGTCCTCAATGTCGCGGAGAGTAAACATCGAACGTTCGGCAGCTGGAACAAGAAGGCTGCGTCTACTTCCCGCGTCATCGAATTCCGCATTCTCGTCGTCACTAGCATTCAGGCCGAAATGCTCCAACAGTCTGTCCTGTAGTGTGGATTTACGTTCGGTTGTCTCTAGCCCCAACCTTTCTAAATTTTCCTTTAGTCCCTCTACAGTCAACCTTAAAATCTGTCCGCGGTC